AAAAATATGAAAAACCAATGTAGAAATCATTTATTCTTTAGTCTTAACTTCTTTAAGCCGCAAACAACCTGTTGATTTATTGAGCGTAAACTTATTTGTCAAGTCATAATTGTATTTAGTCTTCAAACTGTAATCAACCTGTGAGAAGCCGTTATCCACCTTTGTAGCTTTTGAAAGTAATTAATGTTTTAAAACAAGCTTAGGGTTCCACCAGTAGTCTTGTAGAAATGGTTGTTAAGCGCCTTGGACAAAGGATAAGTCAGAGCGCTATAGAAATAAGTTATTATTGTTGTGTTCTGTAATTTACCTCGCTAGTAAATGAGCTAATCTGTATCGCGTCATCAACTTAGAGTATTTACACCGATGTTTTGTAAGATTTTCTTTGGTTATGTTTTGACTGTGCCTGCAGTATAGTCTTGGATTAAACCTCTACATTGGAGCCAAGTTCTGTTGTGATCATTGTCTCAAGGGTATTCAGCAGGCGTAAGAGATTCCGTGCCTTCCCGCAGCCAGCGAGTGTCCCCAGGAGAAGGCCTTTCCCAGAGAGTCTTAGAGCTTTTCACCGTCCGTCAGTTTACCTTTTTTGTGAAGGCAAAACCTGTTTCCACACTGGCGTTTAAGTGAAAAAGCGTGTTTTCACATTGCAGAATTTTCTTTTCTAGACAAGTTAGATAAGGTAAAAGACTTAGTGTGCATGAAGGCCCTTAAAGATCTATTTTTCACAAATTAATAACTTTTGAAGACAAATACGTACTTTCCTAAGTACAACCATTACTACAGAACAGATTCAAATAACTGCCGTAGAGTAAGTTTTACTTATAAATTGTTGCTCAGTAAACCTTGCCGTAGCAAGCTGTAGTTTATGGAAGCTTTAACATTATCAAGAAGTACGTGATGACCATTTTGAAGAACTTCCTTGTCCAAAATATAAATCAACTCAAGTTATTTTATCAAACACTTGAGAATAAAGATAAGCGAAAAAAGTTCAACACAACAGTTTCGATGTCGCTTTCTTGAGTACGGATAGAAAAGTTGCTGCTCTGGTTGCTACTCAAGAATTGCAATGGAAAATTAGACTGTCTGATTTACGAAATGCTTTTTGTTAAAGAGAAGAAACCAAGCTTAAACACGCAATCAGATTCCATCCTAGCAAAACTTTATTCTTAAGTGTTTTACAAAATTTAATTTGATTCGTAAATTATTTTATGATAAGGAAAATTATGCAAATTTGTCGACTGCCTTTAAGCTAGAAATATCTAACTAGGACAGATGGACAATTCACTGGAAAACTTGCTCGCGTCGCTGTCTGGACTCTATAGCAATTAATAGCGGCCAGTTTAATTTCCCTTTGCTGCAAGTGATGCAAGACACGAGACGATATGGTCCTTTTTGGCACACTTTTTGACCGTCATGTGGTCTAAGTCTTCTCTAGCCTTAAAACTATCTCCGATCTGGTTCAGTACAACTCGACATCCCAAACATGAACAGATTTCGTCTTTGCATGACTTTCATATAAAAGAATAAATTCATTTCGGTGAAATAATCGTCATTAGATAAGGTATTTTACTTTTACTTTTAATGTGGTTTTCCCAATGATATTTCCCCAGTGAAATAAGTTATAGCTACCGATAAAAAGTTGTCGGTAATTTAGAGAGCAATACCTGCGCTGTTGCATGATGTATCACTTAAATTAATACTTAGTCAAACTATGTTGGCTCTTGCACTAAACAGAATATAAGAAACGAAACCGTTGAAGAATAGCTGTGTGGTTATTTTTTTTTCTACGTATAACTTATAAAACCATGTGCCACAACCATTAAGACATCTCTACCTTATCCCCAGGCCCCGCTAGAACGCGAATAAGTGCGTAGAGCATTATGGGTATACAAACTTGACAAGCAATAATACATCTCAAGACACCACGTGGGTTGCCAGGCGGCAGAGAGCATCTTGCATTTAGCTTCACGGGTTCTCGCTGCCTTTTCATTGTTAATGAAAAATGTCGTACCCTTTATTTTCAGGAGCCCATAACCTGGGCTACTGCCCTTTTAATAATGAAAACACGGTCGCATGGTTTTAAGCCAAACTGCAGTGGAACCTCTTCAGGGGACACCCTCTGGAAGAAGGCAAGTGTCCTCTGAATGGAGGTTGGGCTGGGTTTTGTCTAATTATTAACCAACAAACAAAATATACTTTTTCTTTTATTTTTCCTCGAACTCTGCTAATTTCAAGCGGCTGGATAAGGTACAAAAAATCGTGATTATCTTATCTCAGTGTTTTTGTGTGTTGAATTCCAACGATTTTTGTGGTTAGTCACCTTTTGAGTGCTAAAGCGGTGTGGCCCGAATGGGTTTAACTCGGTTTTCAGGGCCCAGAAAATTATCCATTTCCCAAATACAAAGATTATCTGAACATTTTTCCTGGACGAAATATTCGTGTCCCCTGGATAGAGGTGTTCCAAAGGAGAGGTTATACTGTATCACAGATTTCCCCTTTCTCATTTGATCGAGTCAGATTAGAAGATGACGCACTGCCACTGATTCTACGCAGTGAGCTTTATCAAGCTACTTCGATAGTTAAATTTGCACAAGGTTACAAAGCTTCAGATTTTGGCAAGATGTGCCTTAGCGCTGCGTGAAAACCGTTCCTGTGAGCGAATCTTACCGCTTCCGCGCTTAACTATTGACCGGAACGATTAGAGCGCAAGTTTTGATCACTCGGATCTGTGATACAGTAAACTGCCGCTGACAAGCTTTGGGTTTATACATCTTCTTAATTAAGGGGTTTTAGAAAGGTTTATAGAATGAGGGGCTTTGATATATCCCGGGAGGGGGGGGGGGGGGTTAAAATCTTATAATCGCTTGTAATTTTTTTCCACGGAGAGTGGCCAATAACCGGGGCGGCTTGTGAGTGTTTATGGGGCGGATGGGTTCGGGTCTATTTTGTTCACCTTTTTGAGTCTCTTCGTGTTTCGTTTTTGTTGTTTTTCAACGTACGGATGCCAAGTACTCGTTTTT